CTCCAGGTCATTCTATTGCTCAGTTAGAACAGTAGAGCTATAATCCATTCCAAATCTGTCTAAGGTTTCTGTTCTTATAAACCATTCCACATTCTGCTTAGTTACTAGGAGGACCAAGATCCGACAAGGGCTGCATTGTTTAATCTTCATCTGTTAGTAAACTAGGACAAACTAGAGTAATTAACTAGTAATTATTACTTCAAAGGAACTGAGACAGGGTTAAAGGGATGGTGATGTTTTGTCAGCAAGTAAATTACATATGAGGTGGGGCACAGACTAGTATAGAGGAGATGAATCTCTACGTGTAGTTTACTTTCACAGTACTTTGGAATCACAAGGGAATGTTAAAAAATCCTGATGCTCTCCTCCCCTAAGTTTTGATGCCATTGATCTGGGCACAGGGATTTGAAAAGTTGCCCAGGTGATTCCATTGTGTAGGCAGGGTTTAAAGCCAGTGAAATAGCACCAAAAAAATGTTTTATGTACATTGATGTCACTCCATTCATTTATTACTTCATTTTAGTCATTCTTTTCATTACATTTAATTCATTTGATATTTATTAAGCACCTACTTTATATTTGTCACTGAATTAGGGGCAGATATTCTCTACTCAGTCACCACTTGATAGCTAAAATGCATATTTGTTTACTAATTTCTCTTCATGCCTGGAAGGCATCTCTTATTGTGACTCTGGCTCTGTTTGAAAGAGAGGCATTTTTTCTATTCTTTTCCTTTCTCCTGCTTGCTTTTAGCAAAGTGGGACAGACAGAGGTTGGGAAAGAAAGAGACTGGGAAACTTTTATTGAGTACCTACTCTATGTTTGGCAAGGGTTAGCATTTCACAGTTGGAATCTCACAGAGCTGTTAAGAGGGTATTATTAACTCCATCTTACAAATGAGGATACAGAGACTCAAAAAGTTTATGTAACTTGTACAAGGCCAAAAAGCCACTTAGTTGCAAAGCTAGGATATAAACTGCAAAGTTCTTTCCCCTGCAAACTTTCAATTACAGTTTCCCTAAAGCCAGAGGAGAGTAGAATATGTCTCTACTGGAAATTGTGTGTCAAAACATGTATTTAGGGAGTGTCTGGGAAGGTAGCTTTTTTGAAGTTTCTTCTTATATTTAAAAAATTTATTTAAATTCTTATTTAATCCTCTATAAGTTAAAGTATAAAAATTGTGTCTAACTTACTATTAGAAGAAAATAATCTTGTGTTTCTAACTTAATGAGTACAATTGCATTGAGTTGATCAATTTCAGAGAATTGTGCTAAAGACAACTGACTCTACATATGAGTTTCAGTGTCCAGGAAATTTCTCTTCTTGTCTTATAATCACCAAATTTCAGTAGTTTGTACTAACCGAAATCTGGGGATACAAATGGCAACACTCTTTTTCACTGCACTTCTGAATCTCTGACAAGTCTTGCTGAAAAGAGACTCTCAAATGCTACCGGAATTTAAAAGGTCTCTGCACCCAATGGCCAGTCTCACTCATTGATTTTTATTTCCCCCTAATGGCATAATTCTCATCTCATAAATAAAGAATCTCAAGTGATTCTTATTGCCTAATATTAACTCACTTTATCTTATTAAAACTTCATTGTCTATATAGTGATCACATACATATTTCAACCACACATGTTGCAGCATTTTGCACTTTTGTAATTATTTATTCAACTCTCGTGATTATCTGTTTACTTTGTTTATTTTTTGCTAGTATAAATTCCAGAAGGTAGGAACTTTGTCTTTTTTGCTAAGGTATACTCCACACCTAACATTTTGCCTGGTACACATTAGGCATTTAATATTCGTTGAATGATTATAGTGTAGAGCTTTCTCAAGTAATTTATTCCTAAAATATAATTTTTAGGAATCAAGCTTCACTAAACTTGAAGAAAGCCTGAAGTAATTTTTAATTTCATTGACTATGCTTTTTACCATACTATTCTACCCACTATTTCTTTTTAGTTGTAAAAATCCTGAAATGTTTTTGAGAGATTTGTTTTAAATGTTGCTGTAAGAATGATGATTTCTTGTTGGTGCCTAGGAAATTTAAAAATCAAAATTTTATCCAATATTTGGGATTATTTTTATATTTATGATAACAATTTAAAATATAAATAAACATCAAAGTTCATCAATGCTTATAGCATTAATAACTACTATGTACCATAAATTCACCAATTTTGGTTAGAAAAATATCTTTTGGTTGTTCCTTCCATCAAGTTCATTATCTCAAAGATGTATCAAGGACATATGAGGGACAACTGACTAAATATCAGGTTGCTATGTGTTTCTATTGCGTGCGTGTGTGTGTGTGTGTGTATGTGTGTATGTTCACTGGTTGCAGACCTATTTTCAAATTATAAGTTTTTAAATTCTTGATATTGCCAGTTCAAAATATAATTTAAAAAATTATTTGTATTCTTTATGGAATGGAAAGTAAATGGAAAAGATAATAAATTCCCATACCACATTTATAGAATTCTCATGTAATTAGGGAGCTCATAATATCAAGAACTGGGATAGTGTCAAACTTGCCCTGTGCACATGTAGTAACCAGATATATATATAACCACTACATTTCTGTTATTATATTTCATATATATTCTTTATAACATTGAATTATATAATTTTATCACATACACATGCATATGACAGTTTATGTTATCTTATAGTATCCTCTTAGGTATGTGTTGTCCCTTAGAAAATTACAACAAACCACAGAAAACATCAGAGAATATTGAGATTTATTCTCACCCAAGGTCACATAAGCCCATACAGAGTTGGAAGCAGTCACAGATCTGCTTTTTTTTTTGCTGC